TAAACAGGTTTCTCAAATCCCAACCTGATTATTAAGGAATAACGGTAGGGATACAAATGAAGATTTCTCACTTTCTAAAGGTAACGTCTCCAAAAATACAAAAGCCATACAGTGAACTGTGCACTCTGCGTCCGAAAGCTTTGGTGGCCAAGGCCTTGCCTTCCTAGGTGGCCCGTTCTCTCCGCTGCACTCCTAGGTGGCCTCGGAGGGGCTGCACGGAACCTCTTCTGAGGATGCGTCTTCTACAAGCCACGACCTCTCTCCCCAGCCACCACAGCGCCCCATATCTTTGCCTTCTGCGTTTCGTAGCTCACATTATATCCCCAAAGCGCACCTTTCATGGAGCCCTCGGGAAGATCCATGCTGCTAATGAGTGGGTCAAATGCCCGGCTCCCTCCAGCCTCCCACTTCCGTTCTCCCTTCACCTCCCTGCGGGGTGGGGCCCCACATCTCCAGTCGTGTCCCAGGACCCGTTAGCGCTCCAACACAGTACACACAACACAGCACGTGCGGTGCTCCACGCCGCCCCCACCCCTCCTCACCATGCTGGTCCTGTGGTTCGGGGTCTCCAGGCTCTCCGGGAGGGGGCGGCAGGTGCTTGGCGTCATCAGCCTATGAAATATTTTTGTCCTGGGGCCACCAAGAAAGGAAGGTGACTTGAACAAGATCCAGGAGAGCTGGGACACACTGTTTTCCCCACCCCCTTTAGGTTTCTTTCTGAGGTCTCAGCTGGGGCCGGGGCACCCACAGGCAGGTGTGTGGGGCGGCAGGGGACACATCAAAGAGCAGCCTCGGCTCCTTCCCCTTTGTCATGCAGAGCTGCTTGGAAACGACCCGCCTCTAGCGGGGCTGACTAACAGTTCCCCGCACCCTACTTTCCTAACAGACTTCTCCCGCCTCCTCTAAATGGTGCCCCCTCCCCCCTCCCCCTCAGCCCCCCATAAATCCCCACCTCATCCCTCAGGGCTGGAGGTCTGTGAATGCACCGACTGGAACCGACCCGAGAGAGATGGAGCAGAGATAGGGCTGGCACCAGAAGCTAATGGCTTTATGGAGGGGAGGGGACCAGGTCCAGGGTAGGGAGGACGAGAGAAAAGCTTCAAAGAGCTCCTTGTCCAAACATCCCCAACTCCACCTCCCAGTCCTTCCCTGGGATTATGCCCTCCTGCCTTTCTGACCCTCTTCTTTCCTGCAGCCTCACGCGCATCCCCACCACCAGGCCCCTCTACCCCAACTCCTGCTCTCCATCCAACATCTATCCTCACACATTGCTGCTACCAGATAACTGTTTCTTCCAACTGGTGACACATCCTATCTCAGGGGTTTCCCTAGCACCACGTCTCTCACCTCTGTCACACCCTTGCAATAGGTTCCAGTGAAACCTTTCTGGCCCTGCAAATCCTACAGTCAACGAAGGACACCTTAGGGTCTCCTCTCTCGAGCCCGGGATAGCCAGTGCCTGCTAATAGCCCCTGTGGCTTTAATGGCCCCACGGAGAGGGGGCCTGCTAGACCTCCCAAGAGCTGCAAATCCCACCCATCCCTGCCTTACAAACAGCATCGCTCCAGTCAGCTATTCCCACTACCCTGTGAACTTTATCAACCTCTCAGCCTGTGAAAGATTCTATTTTAAGAAATTACAATAAGGAGGGGTCTACCCTACATGATGGCTTTTTGCTCTTTCAGATGTGCGGGACCTGCAGTTGAACACACAAACTCCCAGGGCCCCCAGACCTCTCTCCGCACTCATGGCAAGATGTGGACTGTTCAGCGTGGTCCCGGAAATGAGGCTTGGCAGCCCGGTCACCTTCTCCCATGGGAATGGGAGGGGAGAGGACAGCTTAGAAAGGTTAAGTGTTGCTGAGTGGTTTCCTTAGCATAGGCAGAAGGCAAATGTCTACCTCCAGCCAGAAGCTGTGTGGGGACTGAAAACTGGGACTTACTGCTCAGGACGTGGGGAAAGTCTGGTGTGTGGTTCACTGCTGGGATTTACAGCATGACGCAACCCCTTTAAGAAGGAACTGGTGAATACCCCAACCGAAGGGAAGTCCAATTCATTCTGCTGCTTTTGTCATAACTAAATTCCCTCGGGGCTCACCCCTTCTAAGGAGGCACACATCATTTCAAACACAACAAACTCAGTACTTTTTTTTTTTTTTGCAGAACCAGGGATTGAACTCAGAAACTTAGTACTTGAGTGCGTGGGACACAGGCTCTAGTTTTAGGGGAGATGAGTCCTGGAAGTTGAACCCAAGGCCTCTCACACGAAGATTCACTCCTCACCCAAGCCTTCGTTCTTTAGTTGTAACTGGGGGGGGGGGGGGGGGTTGGGGGGCAAAATTCTCCATCAGGACTTCCAAGGCGCCAGAATGGCAGCTTGGATGTCTATTCAGTCCCACTTCTTCGTCTGCTCATTCGTGAAGTTCAAATACAAGCTGAGTGCTGGGGTGCAGCCCAGGGATAGTGGTGGAGCCCACTGAGCCTGGGGCATGGCCTTGTCTACTATGTATAAGGCCCTGGATTCCCTCCTTAGTACACAAGAAAAAAAGAGAAAGAGAAGTGGCAATGATCTACATTATTAGGAGTCTCTGAGGAACAAACAAACAAACAAACAAAAAAACCCAAAAGGGGCTGGAGAGATGGCTCAGTGGTCTAAAGCACCTACTTAGAATAAGCTTGGCAAAGCACAGGGACCACGGTTCGATCCCCCAGCACCACATGCCAGCCAGCCCCGCCCCCAGGTGGGCTGAGCTGGTCACACACACACACACACACACACACACACACAATAAATAAACATAAAAACAAACAAACAAACAAACAAACAAAAAAAAGGAGTCTCTGAGGAAGAATGTCTCGGAACTCCCTGCCTACTTTGCCCTTCTCCAAATCGCTGCACATGCGGAGGGGACATAAAGGTTTATAACCCACCTACCCCTCCAAGTCCTCTCTGCGGTAGGCCTAAGGTCCCTGAGACCACTCTGTCCCCCATTTTACCACAGCAACCAAAGGGGTGCATATTTGAAAAACAGGTTCCCTTCCTTTTTCTGCCAGCATTCTGTTCCCAATTTTCATTCCCTTAGGGGGCCACATCCTTCAGGGACAGAGCAAGGATAGAGACAGAGGGGAAGGGCAGAGCGGTTACATAAGGCAATGTATGGCTTAGGTAAAAGTGGAAAGAGGGTTTACATCAGTCTTAACAATAAAGCTGACTAAAGGATCGCGTCCTCAGCAAGAGAAGATTCTACTTTGACAGCATAAAATCGTATTTATATGGAATCATTTGGCATGCTGATCTAGTTGTGTTCTGCCTTCCTTCAAAGGCTCTGGAAATGGTTTTGTTCACCATTTTCTCCCCAGTGTTTAGAAGAGTGCCCAATTTAGTGCATGCTAGGTAAATATTTGTTGACTGGAAAAAGAGATAGCCCTCTTTTGGCTCTCAAGAAAATAGGAAGCAGCTGTGAAGGCCAGACGTTCGTGGAGACAGAAAGCCCTTTTGGCTTCCATAGGCCTGCCCATTCACCAGGGAGAGCTGCTTCTAGGGTGTGTCCCTTTATTTGGGGATCTACTACTAATGGATAGTAGATACTACTAATGGAGATTCCAGGTCTCAGCTTTGTCTTTGCCCTTTCCTCAAAGCCTTGAGTAATATGTAGTTTCTAAGAGTAAAGCACTAACTGCTTTATCAGATAATGCAGAGATGCCTTAGCAGGGGAAAGCCCACCCTGAGAGTCAGGACCTACGATGGGCCAGAAGGGTCCAAGGGGCAGGTGTAGCCGGGAAATGAACAGGGCCTTAAGATGTGTGGTTTTTACACAGAAGGAACAGTACAGGAAAGATTTCATGTAGTGATGTGGTTTGGTTAAAGACATAAAATTTCCAAGTGTTTCAGGAGGGAAGGGGAGAGAGCCTGCAAAAATGTAGAGCTTCGACCATGTCCACCGTGATGAGAATCACTCCTGTTCATGAACTTTACTTCAAAATCTAATACTGAACTCCCATGGCTTATTCAGTAACAATTACTAGGACAAGTCCCATAACGAATAATATGCCTTTATTTTGGGTGCGTAACACTGCAATAGTGGGGTCAAAGACTTAGAGGTTTACCACAAGTTGGGAAAAGATTTTTTAGCTAGCTCTCCCCCAGACAAAGTACCTCTATATAGAATTTACAGGGAATTAAAATGTTCAACATCATTGGTCACTTGAGAAATGCAAACTGAAACAACACTGAGATTCTATCTCATCCCAGAAAGAATGGCTGTCATCAAGAAGTCAGCCAGGGCCAGGGAGATGGCTCAGTGGAATAAGCGCTTCCCTGGCAAGCGCAAGGGCCTGAGTTCAAGCCCCAGTTCCGCAAAAAAAAAAAAAAAAAAAAAAAGAAGAAGAAGCCAGCCAATAACAAATGCTGGAGAGGCTGTGGGGAAAAAGAAACCCTTCTCCACCGTTGGTGGGCAGGCAGACTGGTACATCCACTGTGGAAATCAGTGTGGAGATTCTTCAAAAAACTAGAATTAGAGAGCCAATTAGACCCAGTTCATCTTCTTCTTCTTTTTTTTTAATTATTTAAAGTTTATTTTATTTTATTTAGTGTGTGTGTGTGTGTGTGTGTGTGGCCAGCTCAGCCCACCAGGGGGCGGGACTGGCTGGCATGTGGTGCTGGGGGATTGAACCACGGTCCCTGTGCTTTGCTAAGCCTGTTCTAAGTAGGTGCTTTAGACCACTGAGCCATCTCACCAGCCCCCAGTTCATCTTCTTTGGGGTATTTTTCTTTTTTTCTTTTTTTTTTTTTTCCTTGAACTGGGAATTGAACTCAGGCCCTTGGGCTTGCCAGGGAAGCACTTATTCTACTGAGCCATCTCCCCAGCCCTGCTTCAGGGTATTTTTCCAGAAAAGTTGAAAACATCATATCACAGTGACATATGTACACTCATGTTTACTGCAGCACAATTTGTCATAGCTAAATCTTGGAAACAACCCAAATGCCCATCAACTAAGGAATGGATAAAAAAGAGGTGGCATTTTTATACAATAGAGTATTATTTAGCTATAAAGAAAGATAAACTCAAGGCTTTTTTGGGTAAATGGATACAACTCAAGACCATATGCATATGGGAAATAAACCAGACCTACATTTGTAAACATCATACTGTTTCACTGTATAAGAACTTGAAAGAGTAAACAAAATTGAAAAGGTACAATAGGTATTGTGAAAGGGAAAGAAACTGCTCCAAAGGAAAGAACAACTGGGATGAGAGAGAGAGGAAAAAAGAAAGAAGGGAAAATACATACGTGTGTGCACGTGCAAGAGAGCTAAAATAGTTGGGGTTTTTTTTCATAATTTTATTGAGAAACAAATAGCAATGAGACAGTTTCAAATCAAATTGGTAGGACAGTTTCAATAATTAATCATTGCATACTGCCTTGGTGGTTATTTGTTGTATAAGATGCAGACATGATATCCTATTTACAAACACTATTAGAACAAATCCCTCTATTCATTGAATTAAGAGAATGTAGCTATATGTCTATCCTAACCATTTTGAATACACAGATACAAAATGGTCATTCATCTGTATCCCCTTTTTTTGTTTAGTTCTGTCATTTAAATATTGGGGCCAGG